GGAGGGGCAGTTCACCGAGGGACGGACTCGGTTCAACGAAAGGCGAGTGTCGTCAGTGATCGCTGATTGGCAGGCAACGTCGCTTGGTCGCCCACTACTAATGTGGGAATTAGTCAAGAAAGCCGTGATTGGAGGATGATGATGAGGAGGAGGGCTGGAAACGGCGAAAAATGGATAGCCTGTTGCGACTGGCACGATTCGTCGCCGACCGGCCGGTCCAAGTTCTCAAAAATTATCAGACTAAAATACAATTTCTAAAATAGACTTGGATCTATCTTCGATATTTTCTTTCAATTTAAGATTATTAACTTATTCTGATCATCATAAATGAATCGTCGCAATCTTCCTTATATGCACCATGTGACAGTAAATTATCAATATTCCGTAATTTGCTGAATCACTGTATTGCTTTCTTAATAAGCTGACAAATGAACTCAGTCGTTCAATCAAATTAGCTCTTTTGCCTATCCAGCATAAGTAAATACTGTCATAAAAGAGCTGAGGAATCAAGAAACTTTATTGAATAATAATCAGTACGTAAATTCTACATATACCAAACACTGAAAATGTCATGGAATTCTACCGTGCAGCAGTCGGGAAGCAAATTAGATGCTTCAGTGGGGCGAACTTGGAGAAAGTAGATTTCCAGAGCCTAAATAAGTTCAGTTTAACTCGCCTCCCTTACGTGATCGTTTCTCGGTGCATCCTTGAGAAAAGCGGATAGTAAGCAATCTCTGTGCCTGAGGCCATGTTCGTCCGTCTTCCTCAATAATACTCATAAAAGTCGTCATGTTGCATGTCGGAGGAAGCCAGCAGCCAGTGGTCGATGTCATGAGGTTGAGACTCGTCGATCGAGGTTCCGATTCCTCGGGGGTCTCCTTCGGATCTTTGCAACGCTCTGCTTCGCAGCTGTTCCGCTGTCGGTAGGGCAGCGATATGCACCGGTTCGATAGTGCCATAGGAACTCAACGCCAGATCGCCGTCTAAAAAATACACTACATGTTCTTCGAAATCATCCATCTTCTCCAGCTTATTGTCGTACTTTGTTCCATCTTGGAACGGTCCCATGTTTCATCTTCTTCGCCAGAAGGTTCAGCCCATGGTTGTTGTTCGCCAGATGCGAATATTGCGTAGAACGTTATGCCGGTTAGGTGAATCAGCCCAGCAAGCAACAGTACTGTAGTCCATCCATAGTTGTACTATAAGAAAACGTAGAGCCCGGAGCAAAGTAAAAAGTAAAATGCTTTGAAACACCGTAAGTCTGTGCAAAATTGCCAAGGCTAAACACGATCACGTGTACCACTGTCTTATCCTGGATGTAGTCTACAGAAAAACCGGAAATATTCCTTCCTTGTATATGTAATGATTGATTATAACTTCGATTGCGTTCTCACGAGATAAGAATGAAACAATAATCAGACATGGTGGTATGCATTCGCCACTGCCTGCAAGAGGGTCGTGAGTTTTAAAGTGATCAGCTAAGGCAAGAGTGAAAGTTGAGACTCCCATGCAATGTCTGAACTTTTTGAATTAACGAAACCCTTACCAAGGCTCTTTCCGAAATCACCGGGAACATGATCACGCGGAGGACCGCGCAACAGATGGCTCGGTAACGCAGAGGACGTTAATTTTGTCGGCTTAAAATCGAGTTCAATAATTTACTTACCCTGAAGTGGCTGACTCTAGAAAGATCCCCTGAAGTGGCTGCCATCGCGGGCTTTGAAATGGTTTAGAAATCTTTCACTACCATGAGTGAAAAAAATGAATTACGTTGTGAAAACTTTCATATCATTATCTGTTCTGAAGCGTCAAAGGGACCCACAAGGTGTGTTCCTGCCTGCCATAGAAACAGAAGGCAAGAGGCTGTGCTTGAAAGTCGATTTATGAAGGAATGTGATGAAGCATGCAGTCAGGTGGTTCGTGTATATGATAATTTCTACACAATATCTTCGATACTTGCTTCCGTTACCACTTGAGGAACAGAACAACTGGCAACTCATATTTAAACTCTGAGGACCAGTAACTTGGCATTCTGTTCAGCCTCTGCGTCCGGTTGATTTACATTGAGAGAAAATAATCATAACTTATAAAACATCTCACTTCCTCGCAAAATGCTGAACACGTTTCTAAACTTTTGCCGTTAGGGTCCAGACCATCTCTTGGCGCAGACCGGTCAAACTTTGTATATGCATGGCCAATATTTGTCCGATTCCGGTTGCCTCATGAGAAGCTCGACATCTCGAGTGACGGGTTGATATCTGATCACTTTCTCGCATAAATATCCTTTTCAAATCTCTAGGTCTGCCATCACCTTGACCATTTGAACCGGCCAATAATTGGCAGCAAATCAAACCGGCCGCCAAGCGCCCCTTATTCATCGCGTCTTCGAGCCTTCTCTCCCCATTCGCCGGCCTTCCCTCGTTTCCTGGTATAATCCTTGTGCTGGGCGATCAAGCGACCTAACTCGCATTCGAGGATTCCAGTCGACGATCATCGCCAGCTGTTGCCTGTCGGTGAGCCGAGCTAGGTTCCCGGCGTACTGTAGTTTCTTACTTCCGCTTTCGACGACAAAGTACTTAACTTCCGTCTGATGGCGGCATAAAATTCCCAACATCCTCTTTCCGTAACTCTCTCGGTGAGAGATAAATGGTGCTTTTCGGTATTCGTAAGTTAACACGTCTCACAGTCATACCAGATTGCTGGCACAGCGGTAGGATTTAGGGCCTGGACTCAGGTTTCTTTCCTGATGTTACCGAGGAGGGTATCTTTTATGGAAAGGTACCTTCTTTCTCCGTTGAATCTCATAGTCTATGATAACACGAATAAACGGGCCTCAGTACTCTTCGAATCTCTCGATCTGTTCGATTGAGGCAGTTCTCCTATGGTGATCCAGAATGAGTACAATCGATTCATGCATGTTCTTGTATTATTGGTTAAATGTATGTCGAAGCCAGCATCGTTTGACGTTTTCCCTCTTACTGTTGGGCTTTCGTTGTAACGAACATAGTCCTGCATGCCGTGTAGTAACAGTTATCTGACTGATTCTGGATATACGTTGGTTCTGTTGGAAAGTGGCACTCCCTTCTCAACCCATATATTAGGGCAGTCTACAGAAAACGGTTAATGGAAGGGCGATCCTCCACCTCTGTAAGTCTGTTTAAAGTAGCTGATGGAAATACAGAAACTGAATACGGAACCTGGCGTACTTTCCGTGTTCGAGGATAATGGTGGGGCTTACGAACCAAACCTTAGTGCTTTTATTGCAGAGAGTTAGCAATAATTATTGCAAGTGATCGCATACCTCAGAGAAGTATATTTAGACCATTTTCTTAGACCGGAATATCTAGCATGGTTGCTTAGAGGTCGATTAAAGAGATATTAGTGATAAGAGGATGAGTTACTGATACTTCGCTGCTTGAAACAAACTTACCTTAGAGAAATACAATTCAACAACAAATCCAACTGTTAGTAGTGATACATACACAAGGTACAGTAAAGTCATTTCAGCATGTTGTCTGCCACGTGAACAGTAGGTCGTCTTACCAATGGAGGGCGGCTCAGTGGGTTCGAGCGAATGAATTATCTAATACTCAGCCAAGGTTATGGCGGTAGATGAGAAAATCCATGTGTCTGGTATTCATAGCCGGAAGAGTTGCCATTGAAACAAACTGCTTCCTCCGCGAAGCGGTCGAGAAAATAGGTTATACTGTAGGCTTAATTTAGTTTAAAGTTTAAAGTCACGTGTTTAAACTGAATAAGCAGCTCTTACGTATGTGGTGGTCAGTCGTTCGGTAATCATCGGGCAAATCATTCCTGCGAAAGTGCCTATTCCATTGGACATGCCCATCAAGATGCTGGCGTAACGCGGCGCGATGTCCAGGTGGTTGACGTTGAAGCCTGCAACCGCGCGTCGTGCACAGCAAACAGAAATACACCTGATTACCGGAAATGGCGAATCCGCTGAAGCCCACAGCAAGAATCAGGCAGGTGACGGCGGCGACGGGGTTCCTCACATAAGCACAGCAAATCAAGAACACGGCTTCCATTCCAAAGCCTATAATGAACCGTCCTAAAGCGTTGATGACAGCAGCCAACCGGCTAGCGGATACCACCGCAGTTGAACAGCTTCCGGACGGCCGTCGTTGAGAGAAGCTTGTGCGAGCGCAAACTATCGGCGAGCTGACCACCAGCCAGTACGACGATGGACATCGCAATGTGAGGCAATGAGGCTAACAGGCCACTCTTAAATACGTCATGTATTTCCCTCCAGAGCACATCATCAGATTAAGTATGTCGTGTATTTGCTACGCTGTGTTAGAGTACCATCATGACTGGAAAAACGAGCGTAAGTGGTCAACCTTAACCCATGCGTAAAAGCACAAAAATCGATCTAGATATTGAAATGAAAATTATGGAGAAATATGAAGGTGGACAAAATTTAGGGGCATAGTACACGATTTGGGTCTCCCCCGTCAACGTTAAGTACAGTTGTTAAGGATATTACCCGTATGAAGGAATATGTTGAAGGATATTCCTCTTTAAAGTTAAGAATGATGACAAAAAACGTCCTGAAGCTATTTACTATGTACATAATGACGATTCGAAGACATAAAATCAAAATATCATACGGTTCTCAACTATAGGAAATAACCTTCAAAATATGCAAATTTCCTACTGTTTACATATCAGTACTGGAGTGTGACTAAAGGGTGGGAATGGATTAAACTCGACTCATGTGAAACTCGTGCTGCATAGAGGTTTGCAGTATTACATAGTAAGTATTGCATAAATCCTGGTCTGTCTGTATATACACATTGCCCTCTGGAGCAGTTAGCGGTTATTTCTATCGTCCCCCTGCCTCCATTGATCAATTACGATTAGTCCTCCTCAGGCCCACGAACTCATTTCGAATTATACCTCCACCAAATGCCTTACATGTTCAATTTCCATGGACAGAACTTCCTTCATGTACGACAACTGGCTAATGAGTAGCAAGTAAAACGTCCAACTCCGGCAGAAGTTGGCCACAAGAATTGCCCAGACGCATTTCGACTTGAAAATTTCCTTCCATGGCACGTTTGAAAACTATGGAAAACATTATAGGCGGTTTTCAAACAAACGAAGGTGAGTTATGGCGAAGATACCTTGACCGGCTTTGAGGAAGTGCGTCCAATTGCATTTTCGATGTGTGCCCTTTCTTGCATGGTAATCGTAGGGTGCTTTGCCGGCGTCTCGAAAATAAGAACATACCAAAAGATGAACCATATGCCACCGCAGATTCCTATAACGTCATTGGTAATAAATTTCTAGTGACATTTTTGGCACTTATTTCAGGCCTGAAAAATAGGCAAGCTCTAGAATGGCGCGGTAAGTAACAAATAATAAATCTTACCACAACTAAAAGTGAATATTATAATGAGCTACGCATCAAGATCACACAACAAACTAGCAACATTAAAGAACCCCTTCGAAAAGAGGCATTGAAGGAGAAGGTTTACAGAAGGACCTAGTGTAAAGGTATGCTAATGAGTAGACAAGATTGACGAAGAGGAATGTGACTTTCTCGGTAGAAACTAAAAATCAAATTTTAAACGGACCCAACGAACCTTAGTATAGAACGAGCTTAATCTCCATGTGTCCTCAGTATATGGAAATACAATCCGCTTCGGTTGATACACTTTTCCATCTCTCACTTTAATATGCTGTTCAATTTTGCAATTAAATTTGTGTACATTCCTTCGCATTGCCGTTTCTTTGCCGTCATGCAAGTTTAGCAATGCTTTTCCCATGCAATGGCCTATATTTGTTGTCTAACTACCTGAAATGATCATTAAGGTTTATACCCTGCAATGTTCAGAGACTTCCTCGAAAGCAATTTTGCCCCGTCGAGGTATTTCAAAGTTTTGTATTGTCTACCAAAGCTTATACGGCTAAAGAACGGCTTCATTCATTCACTGGGTCATTCATTCAGTCGGTCGGTCATTCATTATAAACGGAATAAAGCATTGATTTTATATATACGTAGACAATATGGTCATTCAGATAATTGACTAGTACTGGCATTCCCGCCCATGTGTAATTGACCTTCTTGATGGTAGACAGGTAGGTGAAGTTTGGAAGTGCTGTTGGTCATCTGCAACATTTGGTAAATTCGAGCTAAAAGGACTTCCGAAGCTCACCTCCTTTGAAGAAGGTCGTGAGAATCTAGCCGACACATTAGCGCTGGTTATTCGCCTCATTGAACATAACTAAATTATTTGTAATTTTACAAATATACCGTGTTTTGTGCTGTGCCCACTATGAACACCATGTACTCAATCATTCACCCAGTCATTTTCGAAGCTGGCAACCTCAATGGCCTGGATTATGAGACGCGACAATGGCATCATTTATATATTCGTCCCATATGGTCCATAATGTGCCCCTGGCCTGAAATCCCTGTGACTTTTTGCCTGGGAAGCTCCCTAGTTCACCTCTTCTGCGACATTTTCATGACATATCTTTGTAATCGCAGTTTTGGGCCATTCATAATCGCCAGAGCGATTCATAATCAGAGGTATCTCCGTGTGCGACTTACGGGAAAAATGTTTGTAGGACACTGTTATTGAGTCTATTTTGAAACCAATGCAGGCGCCAGGTTCTGAGTACTCCTAATAAGTTCCTCTTAACGTTGGTCGTTGACAGGTGTCCATTCTTGATCCAGTTATAGAGTCACATTTTAACGATATTTCACAAACATTGTTGATGGAATCAGTCAAGACGACCTTCATGAGGTTTCAGGACGGCATATGTTTCCGGAGCTAGAGGAGCGTCTCAAATATGGCTGTTTTCAAAATGATGCTATTCGTCATTGCTCTCACACTATAATCCTTTTGCATTTCATATCGCTTCGTAATATATGCTGATTCCACTTTCGTTGTATAGTCGAAACTATCGACCCACGCGTCGTTATACCGTTCCATAGGATTCCCATGTTGTCGGTAGCAGCGATGATTTATTAGCAGTAATGAAGTTGTGTATTGATCTGATTATGAATTGAACGATGAGAAGTGATTCGTATTTTATGTGTAAATGTCCACTAACCAGATTTATATTATTTTCAACTAAGTATTTATAGTAAGCAGATATTGAATAAAATAAAAAAATTACTATTTCTTGTTGCTAATTTTTTTGTCCCAAATAAAGCCGCTGTTTCATGACCAAAATAATGGCAACTGCGTAACAACGGTTTTATGACATCAGCCTTTGCCTCGCGCCCAAAGCCAGGGAATCGGAAACTGAGAACGGTTACGATTTTGCGGCTCAAAAATCAAAAATTAATGTTTTTTATTTTCAATCGCTCCGTGTTGCATAGGAGAAACATCTGGAGAAAAAGTGGCTTCTTCCGGACGCATGAAGTAAGTCCAAGCGGGTCAAGCCTCATGATGCTTTCATCTGGAACCCAATTTTGCCTGAATAAAACGCTAAGAGAAACTCCGTCCAAGACGCCTAGAAATCGCGTTAGGTAGCCAAATCCATTTATGCAGATAGATAGAAATATAAGGCACGAAAAATGATTATCATCGATCCCTTGCATGGAGCCTGACCCAGATTACGGCAGACTGTATCATAAGACTGACGGATGACAGGTGGATTGGCATCTGATTGGCCTCAGGTGCTCAGTAGAAGACCAGCTCACATGGGAGGATGAGTCAAAACTGTGATATGGAAGATTCTGGCAAGATAGCACGAAGCAGACGAGCGTGAGTATCGACACTTAGCAGTTGTGTTTTCCGTTATGAAGCAGAACGTTGAGTAAATTACTGTTGTTTTCCTCAATTTGCATAACAAGCAAATTAGCTGATTTAACATCCACTCCGAGGACAACTGACCGTATACGTAGAACGGCATCGACCAGCCACAGTAAGAAGTCAACAAAGCAGATAAAGGTAGTCCAACAACGGCTCCTGCGTAAGATCCTGTGAAAGTTGTCGTTGCCAATTTCGTCCTTTCCATTGGCGGAGCCCAAAATCGCCAGATTCCATGAACCGCTGGATAAGCAACTCCCTAAAGATGATGAACGTTACACGTAATATCTAATGGTTATAATGAAACTAGTTAAAATGACAAATTTAAGTTATCAATGATAAATAATTAAAAATTTATGCACTGCATTTCAGTGTTCGTAAAAGCTAGGGTTGTTTGCTGTACCTAGTTTAACGCCGATATCCCGTTGATGACAGCCGCCGACTACCTGCGTCAGTAACAATGGAGGTAATAACGATTTAGGTCGACAGAGCTGTAAGTTAACAATGCGCGAGTTTGACAGACGCATTCCATATTAATGTCCAAACAAAGCACGGCAAAATCTATTTCGCCGTAGTGTCTACCCTCTGAATAAATTATTATAACTTAGTGAGTGACGGAAAACCTCAAACGAAAACCTAAATGCTGAAAAATATTAATGTTTTCCAGCAGAGACACTAATGAAGCATAGTTTTATAAAACCAACCTGTGTCAGACCCTGTAGAATTTGAATCAAGACGACCAAACCGATTGCAGATTCGCATGCGACTGGCATCAGCAAATTGAGAAGAGATGTTATTCCTACGGCGAAACCAAATAACCTAAAAAATAGAAATTCGCGTCAGTGGGAGTTTGTGATGGGACGAATGACTAAATTCGAATTCGTGAATTTTAGATGCACTACTGAATGGCCATGCTATAAGTTCAGGTTATAATCTCTAAGTACTCGCGTGATGTTTAATCTTGAGATAAAGTTCGCCATCTAAGAAATTAGCTATGAAAATATGCAAATTGATTTTTTTATCTCAATTTTCTACGGTTTATTATTTCATTTGCACATGTGCCATATTTGCATTTACTTCTTTGACTCACACGCAACTTTTACCTGAGTCCTGCTTGAACAGAGTCTAATTGTCTTGACCGTGGCATGTGCTCATCTGAGTCCATTCTCAGCGGGGCTTCAGTTCGCGCGATATCGCTGAGTCTGGGATTCCGAATCCTTGGCAGTCCGGATCATTCGCTACACAACAGTCTTACACGTTGCCGTTCGAGCAATGCGGCTGCCTTTCAACTTCCACCCACACAAACTCCATGCTGTCCTCTTGATCCAAGTTTTGTCCAGTGGCTTTGCCTGTGATTTCCTGTTCCGTTTATTGGTCTCTTCTGTTAATGTTTTGTTAGAGACAGAACCTAAGCAGAAATTTGCTGTTCCAGTTGTTGCTGTGTGCTGATCGCCCCGGATCTTTTGGTATTCCTGGTAAGACAGTAAAATTCAGACTTCCAGCTAAAAC